TAACCCGGAAGTACTATTAAAGGGAGGTCATGACTTCCAAGATGGCATCTAAGAGCTGAGTTCAGAGCTCATACCACTAATTGAATTGAATTTCCATAGACGACAATGTTAACATATGACGAGATTGCTATATGAAAATGATGAAGAAAGTTGAAAACATGGCTCAAAAATGGGAAATCAACGTGCAAGTCAACAGCCATATGAAAAAAACTAACATGTTGGTCAGCTCAAACTCTTACAAATCTCAGGTAAACAAGACCCACCTACTGTATTTGGATTGCACCTAGAGAAATCACTGGAAAAACACTATGATTAGAACATCCAAATACACACAATAAACCCACAGGTACACAGTCGCTAAGTAGTAAACAAAAGACCACATGTTGGTCTCATCTTTGACCCTGGTGATTATGCCCTCAAACAGGGAGCACCTGAGAAAAAACAAATTTAAAACATTTTATTGGTACTTGCTAGGCATTTAAATGAGCATCAGCCATTGGTTGATTAGTGGTATGAGACCTTCAATCTGTTGTGTTCGTATATTTAATCCATACCATCCACTGACCTATTGAAGACATGAACTGTTCAATTGTAGACGAGGATGATAATAACAGACTAACCTTTGATCTATCTGGTAATTATGGAAGTGAATATTGAATTGGGGGGAATTCCTGTATTTTATTGTAAAACTGAACCAGTCACACTTTCTACGAGATGGAAGGGGTGGTTAAAGTCATTTGAGTTCTATGCAGTTGGAAAAGGTGTGACAAACGAAGGCAAGAAAAATGCTCTTCCGCTCCACTGTGCAGGGATTGATGTACAAGACGTGTTTGAAATACTGAGAGACCCTGGTCCAGGGGACTTACAAGAAGGTGAGCAAGATAATGCAGGGCAGTATGATAAGACTGTACAGACATTGAATGCTCATTTTACACCAAAGATCAATGTACAACATGAAAGACATACTAGTATTTTCCGTCAGCTAAAACAAGAGGAAACAGAAACTGATGATCAATTTGTTGGTCATTTGAGACGCCAGGCCCATAATTGTAATTTGCAGATTCTGATGAGCAGATGAGTGATCAGTTGAGATCTTTAGGGCTTCGTAAATTATTGGAGAAAAGCACTACACTTAGTCTGACAAATGCTCAAGAAATTGCTAGAGCAATGGAAGCTGTTGACTTTCAAGTAAAACAAATGGGGGGGGGGGCTTACATGTCGTACAGCAATTCGTAATGAAGTGAATCTTATACAGCACCATAGAGTAGATATTCAGCTACAAAACAGAGAAGTCAAAGATAAAGAATGTCCAGCAAAGTGAGCAACGTGTAATAAATGTCACAAGGAAGGACATTTTGCAGTTGTGTGTACATCTAAATTTATAGGTGGTAGAAATAAGCTAAAGTCAGATAAATATAGTAAAAAACAAGCACAATTTAAAGTTAGTGATAAGGTACGCCATGTTGAAAGTGACATTGAACATGACTATGTTTTTACTGTTGATCCTATTAAGGAATACTGGCAAGGTAGTTTAGTTGATGTTAAAGTTGCTGGCGTAATAATACATGATATGCTTATTGATTCAAGTGCGACATCAGGGTTTGACACTCACATGAATAATTAACTATCCCAAAGTTTATGGATTTTGGTAGTCCTTTCTAAAAGTTATTGGTCCTCAAAATCAATGAGATTTTATTTGGTGTGTGAGAGACTGCAGTGAAATTCCTCTCACTCCAGTGCCGGAAAACAAAACTGATTCGCAATTATCCCTCTTGCAACATTAAAAATTGCACAGTAACCCCCCCCCCCCCTTGCTGAATTGCCGAGTCACCGAGTATGACAACCATATGTACTTTTTTCCATGCTTCCTGAAACTTGCAACACGAACATTTTTTTGTTTGGTAGCATAACCTACTAAAAATCGTCCCACGATGATGTACCGGATTCTGCTGTAAATTCGCTCGTCCGATAAATCGCCTTGGGCGGTTTCACGGCTCGTGGGCCCTTATTTGGGTTCTAAATGTCAACAAATTATCATAAAATATTTTTAGGGGGGCTTAAATTTTCATTGTAAAATCCACCTACGCCAATTTTCAACGTCGGCAGTTGGACCACCCAAAACGATAGAAACTATTACAGAAGCTAATCTAAAATTTTATAATTTGTTTTTGTCTCCAGAAAAATCACATTAACGAACCTCGTGCGCCAAATACAATTGTTTTGTTTCATTTTATTAGTGACGTGCGTATATTCTAAAATAAGTTTCAAATAAAAACTAACCCAACTGCAATGCTTAGTAAGCAAATGATCGCGGTAGCACAATCTGGTCATGCTGCGTTTCACAATTGTTGATTATTACCTAGTAATGATTATAATAACGTTCAAAAAATAAATTCGTTGAATTGTTATTAAATGCAAATAAATTTCAACTTATTGCATCATAAGCGAATGATTCCGATCGCATTGTCAACGCTCGATGCTAAAGAAATGAATATCCGTCACGTTTTGACCTAAGTCAAATCAATAGTTAACCAATGAAAATGATGGATGATGGCAACGTGTTCAAATTACCATAGCTCATTCAAATATGTTAATGTTATTGAACGCAGCACGGGAGAGATTTGCTGATGTTGTACAATCTTTTGGCTTGTATTTTAATGAGAGAGCGGCACGATTTGTTTTTAAATGAAAAAAAATAGTTGTTTTCAAAAGATGAGCTGAGCATTTGACAAATAATTTAACCTTGTTTACAGTGATAACAACTCATTGTCGTAACGAAGCTTATTCATTCACGCTAGTCGCAATAAAAATCAATACTCTTGAATAGGTGTCAATGACTACAGCGAAACTTTTAGGCATCGAAAATAATTAAAAATCGCCCTTGGTCACTTGAGCGAATTTACGGCAAAATAAATATTATCGCGAAGTGCAAACACACTTGACAACCATCATGAGGTCGAAGCTAGAGTCAAAATTGGATGAGCTCATCAAGTTGGATATTATAGAAAAAGCAGTGGGCCCAACTCCATGGGTCATCGCAGTGGTGACATAAGAATGTGTGTTGACATGAGGTCAGCCAATAAAGCAGTAATCAGGGAACGCCATCCTACAGTAGATGAGATACTGCACAAAATGAAAGTACGGTGTACAGACTAGAAATGGGGATTTCGCAAAATTTAGGTATCAGAAGAGTCCAGAGGTATCATTACTTTTGTGACACACATAGAACTATTTCAAGATGATGGAGCTCATAACATAGCTGATGATATGATAATACATGGTCGTAACCAGAAAGAACATGACCAACAATTTAATTTATTTGAAGTGTTAAAACGTCTAGAAGAAAAGGGAATAACACTAATCAAAAACAAGTATGTGTACGGAATGGACCAACTCACAGTCATGGGACATTGCTGTCTAAGAGGGTTCTACACAAGCTAATGTGAAGGCAGTGATTTATGCTAGAGAACTCAATGATGCAAGATAAGTCAGGAGTTTTCTAGGCTTGGTTAACTTTTCTGCACGGTATTGTGAACGATTAAATCCGAGTGTTATTAACCTTCACTTCAGAGGTACCAAGTTCGGGGAATTCTCCACCTTTCTATCGAACAAAGACACACAGAGAATCGAATCGAGTCACATTTGGTCTCAGCCGCGTTGTTTCTCTCTCACGGCTGTATCAAGACTCTCTTGTCGATAGCTTGCCACAACTAACTGAGATCGGTTTTATTCACATTCCAACTGTTAACCAATTACAGAGAAGTTAAAAGACTCTAAGGCGTGGCCTTCACACATATAGCCAATCACGCAAAGTACTCAACACGCCATAATGTCAGATTAATTGCCCCCAATGTCGGGACATAACTCTCATACTTATCGGTGCCTTGTTGACTTAACCAACTTACATAGTCTATCATTATATCAGCCAGTTGTTCCAATCACTAATTCCCTAACATACGAATGAACCTGATCATGACAAGTTACGAGCAGGTGTGGATTATCCAGGGGTCACCATTGGAAGTCGCTATTACGGCAAAACGCGGCCTCACCGAAATACATGAAAATATAAATCATGACAGTATATCCCTGACTTAGCAACAATGGCAAAACCTCTGGGAAACTCACTCGCAATGAAACAAAGTTTGCATGGGGAAATGAACAATTATTTGCATTCAAAACATTAAAACAATCAATACTTTGACAAAGATGCTGACACACAAGTGGTTGCGAATGCCAGCTCAGTTGGTATTAGTCCAAACACAGAAAGATAAAAGCCATGTAGTCAGTTATGCAAGTAAAAGTTTGACTAGTGTGGAGCGTCACCAGTCCCAGACATAAAAGAAAGCACTGGCATTGGTCTGGGCATGTGAGCGGTTCCATGTATACTTGTATGAGATCAAGTTTGAATTACTGACAGATCGCAAACCACTGACTTACATTTACTCAGAGAGGTCAAAACCATCTGCACGTGTTGAGAGATGGGTGGGCGACGAGTTGACTGCACTCAGAATATGTGTTAAATCATATGACTGGAGAGACTGTCCTCCAGGTTGTAAAGCTGTCAGAACTGAATTAAGTGTAATATGACAAGTTGTACTAAAAGATACCAGAATAATCGTGCCAGCAAAATTAAGAGGACAGGTGTTTGATCTAGTTCACGAGGTGCATCAGGGCATAGTGAAGACTGAACAGAGATTACGTTCCAAAGTCTGGTGGTCAGAGATTGACCGTGAACCTGAAAGGAAATGCAGAGCATGTTATGGATGCCAATTGATCAGCCAGCCATCAAATCCAGAGCCAGTACAGTCTACTCCCCTACCAAGCAGCCCATGAGTAGATGTTGCTGCAGATCTGCTTGGGCCGATACCCCCTGGTGAGTATCTCTTGGTTATAGTAGATTATTATAGCCAATACTTTTGATAAGTTGAAATACTGTGACGAGTGACACAATTATAGAAGCAATGGAATGATGTTTTGAAGCTCATGGTTATCGAGTGTCAATGAAAACTGATATCAGTCCGCAGTTTATATCAGAACTGTTTGAAAGGTACCTAAACGAGACTGGTATAAAGCATGGACGTACCACTCCACGTTGGCCACAAGCCAATGGTGAGGTGAAGAGACAAAACAACGCATTGTTAAAGTGTATGAGAATAGCACAAGCGCAAGGTCAAGATTGGAAGAAAGAGCTGAACAAGTTCTTGTTAGCTTATCGTACAACTCCACATTCAACTACAGGAGTATCCCCAGTTATTATATCGCCGAACGTTGCGCACAAAAAACAACAGATTACCCAGAAACTTATTTGAAAAGAGAGGATGATAGAGCTGTACGTGAAAGAGATAGTGAAATGAAACAAAAGGTGAAAGACTATGCAGACTTTCGTAAACATGCACGTGAGAGTGATATTCAAACACGTGACACAGTGTTACTACAGCAGAAACGAGGAAACAAGTTATCTACACCATATGAATAGGTTCCACCTTAAGTGGTAAATAAATATGGTAACCACAAAGGGTTAGATATGAACGAAATACTTCTCATGTGAAAAGATTTCTTGACGAAACAATTGTTAATATAAAACTGAAAGTTAAAGTGAACTCCTGTATGTTTAAATTTAAACTGATACCTGAAACATTTGTGTCTGGAAAAAAAGGGATGTAGTGTATTAACCCATCAATGGGTCCACATCAGAACATAACGTTATTAAGCTAAGGAGCCTTATTATGTGTTAACCCGGACGTACTATAAAACGGAAGTCATGACTTTCAAGATGGCAGCCCAGAGCTGAGTTCAAGGTCTCATGCCACTAATCAACCAATTAAAAATGCCTTGCAGGAACCAATTACATTTTTTAAATATTTTTTTTCTCTCAGGTGCTCCCTGTTTGAGGGCGTAATCACCTGGGTCAAAGGTGAGACCAGCTTGTGGTCTTTTGTTTACTACTTAGCGGCTGTGTACCTGTGGGTTTATTCTGTGTGTATTTGGATGTCCTAATCTTGGTGTTTTTCCAGTGATTTTTCTAGGTGCAATTCAAATACAGTAGGTGTGTCTTGTTTACCTGAGATTTGCATGAGTTTGAGCTGGCCAACATGTTAGTTTTTTTCATATGGTATGGCATGTTGATTACCCATTTTTGAGCCATGTTTTCAACTTTCTTCATCATTTTCATATAGCAATCTCGTCATATGTTAACATTGTCGTCTGTGGAAATTCAATTAGTGGTGTGAGTGGTATATCTGTAGTGTAGAATGTATAATTTACTGTTTAAAAAGTAACCAATCAACGCGCCACGTACAGAGCGCAGACGAACCGTATAGTAATTGTGCTGGGTTCTATTTTCGGTGGAGAAACGAGGTAAACAGACGACAGAAGCTATGGTAGTCTTAATGACGAACATAAAATAGCCAAGAAATAGCCTATTACAGCAGATTTGTTCTCCCATTGTTTCTATTCTAGGATAGGCATGTGTGGTATCGTGTCGTAATCACTTACATCAGCTGTAAGACGGGTGTGAGGGGAATAATACTGATATATTATTATATATTTGTAAAGTATCTTTTTTTCTGAGATACCTGCAGATAAAAAAGAGTATCATCCCTGTGGGTTTTTATTTAATGTGTTTTTAGGTATTCAAGTGGATAATCCACAAAGCACCCACATAAATTAATATGTGATTACAAATGGATATATGCATACATAAGGCCATAAAGTAGATTTTGCACTACACCCCCATCAACGGTCGATGCCCGGTCTTGACCATGTGAATTGATATAAATTGAACTTGTTGTGGAGTTAAAAAACATGTTTTCTCTCGTTTTCATTGACCTGCCTGAATGTGTCATTTGATTTGAAAATCATAATTTTGATTGGCCGCATAGTAACTTTATTTATATGAGCGCAAATAGGATAGTTATTTGAAGCGGCATTCAATAAATAAGCTTGGGTTTTTTAATCATCAAATGAATAGATCCTTGAACAGGGAGCAAATAGAACGAAAACGGCTCGAGACGCGCTAATATTCATGAGGGAATACGGAAATCAACCAATCAAGTAGAGCGACTGTTAGCGCTTTCGTAGTTCGTAACCAACTGTTTGAGTTCGATTGCTAACCGTGAAAGAGTCAATGCCATGAACATCCCATGTCCAGTACATCACTGACAGAAACAGGGCTGACAATGTCTACTGCCTTGAACTTGAAGGTGTATTGTTATTCGAGCTTGTATCTCCCATTGTATGATGAGTAATCTAAATGATTATTTGACTTTAGGCCAGGAAAAAACAATTCTCTGTTTCTCGTTTCATGGGAATTTTGAAATGCGGCGGCGAGGCGATTTTACGATAATACTGAGCTAAAATGGGGGAAATTTGAGACAAGTACAAGCGCATTTTGGAATGCTTTAGAAAGAAAAAAACGTTCGCATAGTTCAAAATGATGCGCGCAGAAACGAGAAACAGATATTTTTTCTCAGCCTTAGACCGCCACACAGTCAACTTAATTGTTAATTGACTTTTGACCACATAATTGTTCGACCCAGTGGCCAAGTCAAGGTATAAGGTGATTTGCAGTGGCGGATCCAGCAAAATGTATTGGGGGGGGGGGGGTCCAAGCTACGCTTAAGATATACGGACCGTAAATCGCAGAGTAGCTATGCGTAATCCAGATGATACGAATCGTCATGCGTTGGGGGGGG